AGCTCTACGATGGCTGTCCTGCTCCGTGCCATTGCCTGGAGTCTGTGCCCTTCTCTATCCCACCCATGGACAGTCTACCCATCGTCAAGGCCCACCTCAAGTGCCACATCCTCCATGACCCTCTCCCTGAAACTCCACTGCAGATACTGCCTCCCTCCTTCAGCCCCATAACTATTTCCTGGGCCCCTCTCCGGGCACCCCCTTCACACTCTGACAATAACTAACATCTCATTTGATTCTCACCACGAGCCCAGTCGTGGGTGTTATCTCTTCTCCTGTGCTACAGATGAGGACACTGGGGTGTCATTCAAGTGATTTATTTGCTCAAGGTGGCTCAGGCAGTGGATGGTGGAGCCAGGATTTAAAGCCGGGTCTTCTGGCCCCAGAACTCATACCCTTCTCCACCTCCCCATGAATTTGCCTGTTTCCCTCATCTGTGAACTCCCAAAGGGCAGGAAGATGCCTGCGTTGGCTTTGCCTCCCACCTGCTCCGGGCCCAGCAATCCCGCTGTGGGTGAATGGGATAAATGGAATTGCATTAAACTTCTCAGCCATGGGGGAGTTTCTTCCCTAATGCCAAGTCTAAAGAAGCCCTGAGGGGCAGGGGGGTGGAGGGGGGGCAGGGCACTCCGGTGCTGCGCCTTCGGGTTGCTGCCCTTGGGATCGCCCTTGGGATTGCTAATTTCCAATCAGCCTGGTCCTGCGTCGCCTTCTACACCATGAATTATGGTACTGCTGGCTGGGTTTAACATTCCCTCACCAGCTGCCTAGCTGCTGGGTTTCCAGGTTGGTGTTTTGTTCAGTTCTTTCCTGCTGAGCCCACCCCACTCAGTCCTTTTAAAAGTGAAGCTTCTCCCCTCTGTCTTCACACCTCCCCCATTTAGGACCAGCTGCTAAGGGCATTCTTTTTTAGCTGTAGCTCCGCCCTCTTCCCAAGAATCCTAGGGAAAAAACGAAGGCCCCCTCCCCTGACCAGCCTGAGGACCCTCTGCCTCTCCTAGCTGCAGCTTGCTCCTCAGAACACCTCCAGCCCATTGTCTCTGTGCTCAGAAAATAGTAGCTAATGCCTTTTGAGTGCTTACTGCGTAACTGACCTTGTGCTAAGAGCTCTACGTGCAAGCTTTCAGTTACCTCTCACAGCAATTTGTTTTTTTTTTAATCCTCACCCGAGGACATGCTTAGAGAGAGGGGGGGTGGGAGAGAGAGAGAGAGAGAGAGAGAGAAACATCGCTTCAAGCAACCGAGCCACTCCCTCCGGCTGGGCCTTCACAGCAATTTTATGAGGGTGGGCACCATTTTCCAGGTGAGGCCACTGAGGCCCCATGAGGTTAGGTAACTGGCCGAGGCACACAATGAAGTGCAGCACAGACGTCAGTGCTCATGCTCGTCACTGACACTCTGATGACAGAGCAACTCAGGCTTCTTTGGAGGTCAGTTCTCAGCCTGTCACCCCACCTCCCCGTGACCCAAGGGGCACCTTTCACCCACATCGGACAGTTGCCCAATTTGGCCTCTGGAACTGGAACCTTGCCCTGGCCCATCCCAGCGCCAGGCATTGCCCACAGCTTCTCTGCCGGCTTCCAGAGCTCTGCTTTCCAGGTGTAACAAAGGGTTTGTTGTGGCAAACTGAGCAGAATGACTGGCACAGCGAAAGCCATCACATGTGTGACAAAGCCAGTCGGCGGCCAGAACTGACAACAGAGTGCGGAGGCTGTAACTCTAACACTGGGGTGCATTAGGGACACGCCCCCTCAGGGACAGTGACACCTGGCTCTGAGGAGGTGGAGAGTCAACAGGTGCGTGTGTGAGTGGATTAACCTTGCATCCTAACCTACTCGGGGAAGACTGTCTTCGATGGACAGCATAGGGTGGTGATTGCAGATGACCACACTTTGGCCAGCTCACTAAATCCTGGGCTCTCTGGGGTAGTTGCTCTAGGAAGTCTATGGGGTAGTTGTTCTTGGAAGATGTGCAAGAATAAAAATCTGGCCTGGGGCCGAAACCGGTTTGGCTCAGTGGATAGAGCGTCGGCCTGCGGACTGAGGGGTCCCAGGTTCGATTCCGGTCAGAGGCATGTACCTGGGTTGCGGGCACATCCCCGGTGGGGGATGTGCAGGAGGTGGCTGGTCGATGTTTCTCTCTCATCGATGTTTCTGACTATCTCTCTCCCTTCCTCTCTGTAAAAAATCAATAAAATATATTAAAAAAAAAAATCTGGCCTGGGGGAAGGGCATCTGGAGGAGAGAGGAAAGGGTGCTGGCGTGAGAACTGGAGAACTGGAGAACTGGAGGGGCAGTATGAGCTCCGAAGCCAAGCAGACCTGTGTTCAAATGCCGACCTTGCCACTGACTCGCTGCATGACCTTGGTCCAGTCATTTCACCTCTCTGAACCCCAGTTTCTTCATCTGTAAAAATACCAGCTCTTAGGATTATTTTGATTCCTAATTGGGATATGTTAAATCATCAGTTCAGTGCCTGATGTACGAGGATTAGTCAATAATGGGAGGATGGGGGAATAAGATATCATTAGCCAGGTCTTATTTGTGCTCTGATGTTAGCAATGTGCCATGCACAAAAGGGACACTCCTTAAATATTTATTAAGTGAATGAATGAATGGTGAGGGGGTCACACCAGAAGTCAGCTTCATTTTCCGTTTCTCTGAGTGACAATTTCAAACTGTCCCCTTGCACCCCAATTCAACTCCCATGCTAACCCTCCCCATTGCCCCATCCTCAAACTTCACAGCCATGGGGAGGGGGCTCCCTCACTTTCCTGTCTCCCCACATTCTTCACTCAAGGAATACCATCCCTTTCTCTCCAGGCTTCTAAGTTTGAAGGTGGAGTTCTTTTTTTTTTAAAAAAAAATATATGTATATTATTGATTTCAGAGAAGGGAGAGGGAGAGAGAGATGGAAACATCAATGATGAGAGAGATTCATTGATTGGCTGCCTCCTGCAAGCCCCACAATGCAACCCGGGCATGTACCCTGACCGGGAATCGAACCTGTGTCCTCTTTGGTTCATAGCCCTAGCTCAACCACTGAGCCGCACTGGCTGGGCAAAGGTGGAGTTCTTTACCTGCTTCCTGGGTCCCTTCTTCACAACCCCCACCCATCATTCCCCTCTCTGTGGGCTCTTTATCTTCTGGAAAAAGCCATGGTCAGCTCTCTCCCGTCTAAGGGAATAGCCCCAAACTGCTCTTGAGCTCACCTACGCCCCCTCTAGTTGCCACCTTCTCTCCCTTCACAGCTGAGCACCCTGCAAGAGTCCACCGACACCCTCCTCTCCATCCTCCCCACCTTCATGTCAGTTCCTGTTGTTCTCACTTTCACCCAAATCCTCTCACTTCTGCCCCGGCTCCCCACAACAGGGCTCCAACCAAGGTTACTGGCAACCTTCTCGTTGTCAAAGAGAAAGGACACTCTGTCTTCTTCTCATCTTTCCCCGCCTCTCAGATGGCATCGGACACCTCTGAGCATGGCTCCTGGAAGCTCTCCTCCATCAGTTTCTGGGACACTCACCTCTCCAGGCTTTCCCCTTTCTCCGCCCATCCCTTCTCAGCCTTCTTGTTCACTCCTCTTCCTTCAGTGTCCCTCACTGTCCATCTTCCCCGCGCTCCTCCCCATCTCCCTTCCCCATATACAGACCCAGACTTTAACATACCACCTGGACGTGGACAATTTCCTAATCTCCACCTGGGGTCGCTTTTCCCCAAGCCCTAGGCTTACCTGTTAATGTGAACATTCCACAGGCAACTCAGATGCAAGGTGTGTTAAAATGAGTTCTCCTTCCCTCCAAACCTGCTCTTCCTCCTGCATTCTCTGCCTTGATGAATGGACTCATTATCCACCCAGGCCTTCAAGTCAGACACCTAAAGGTCACCCCAGGCTCTGCCCTCTCTCTTGCACCTCACAGCCAATTGGATGTCAATTCCTGTTGATAATTCCTTCTAATTATCTTCAGAAGCTGTCTCATCCTCACTATAACCCCTGCAGAGTCCCAAGACAGGGCAATCTGATTATCTTACTCTCTGGCTCAAAAATATTCAGTGGTTCTCCATCACCTTCAGGGTAAAGTATTCTTTCTTTAGAAAGGGCCATACTTTTCATCAGGGCCAGGACTAGGGTGAAGCAAATTCGGAGTCTGGGGTACAAGTACTTCCTTAAATTTCACATCCTCGCGGCCCCCTTTTCTCACCCCAGCCCTGGCCCTGCTTTCCACGGCTCTATGCCTATGCACTTGACATTCTCTCCACCCCCAAACACTCTTATCTCTTCTCTACCTTACCAGCTCCTACTCATCCCTTAAGACTTAGTTCAGGGCCAATTCCTTTGACTTGCCTTCCCTGACCCACCAAATCTGAATTACATGGCATTATTCCGTGTCCCCTTCACATCCTGTACACCCCTCATCACTCCGGCCCTGACGGCTGGTTTACTCCCCAGCCTGGGGCCTTCCAGGGCAGTTTGTTGAATGACTAATGGAATTGATGACTCAATCTGAAAGGGTGTGTGCTAAAAGTTATTGTTAATAATAATAGTAATAATAACAATAATAGCTTGGGCCCAGAGCCCAGCCTTTAATGGCCTTGCTGTAAAAGCCTGCATGTTCTAGCAGTTAAAACTGATGTCCAGCTGCAGGCAGCGAGGTCCCCATCAAGTGGTCAAGATGAGGCCGGGAGAGGAAGGGGCATAGCGGATGAGGCCTGATGGCCAGTTCTGAGGGCCCTTAACAGTTGGCACTCAATACTTGCTGTTCCCATCACTAAAGGCCAATTTGTTTCTCTGCTTCGGTCCTCAGTACCAGGAGATAGCCGGTGCCTTGGGGTGGGGCAATTGCAACAGAACTCTTTGAGCTTGAATTCTGCATCTGGCTGGAAGAGGGAACCCCACAGAGATGCCTTCCCAACGGCCCCACACCCGAGTCAGCCCCCGACAGAATAGAAAATAAATTTACCTTCTTACTCCCCTCCCCCCAATGAAAGGCACAAAGTCAGGAATTGATGCTGCATCTTTTTTTTTTTTTTAACTTTTGCCTTCTTAAAGCATATGCTGAGCGGGTGGATGAAGCAATTTGGCAATTAAAAAGGCCCAGCGGCTTGGGCAGAGGCAGGAGGGGCCAGGTGAGGGCCGGGGAGGACCCTCATTCCCTGGACAGGGAACAGCAAAGCCCGCACTAATTTCATAAAATATAAAACAAGGGAGGGGTGAAGGTAGGAGGGAGACTTGTAAAATACAATATCTTAGGGGACTGGCAATAATAAAAAATAAGGTTCATTATTTACAAACAATTTCTGTTCTTGGTCTCTGTACAGTGGGGGTGAGGGGAGCGTGTGTGTGTGCCGGCGTGTTGACGTGTGTGTGTGTTTGTGTGTGTATGGGGGCCAGGGGGCAGGGAGGGCAGTGGTTGTGTTGGTCATTATGAGGAAGGAGGGGGGTAGCCCAGTGAGTGGTTTATCTGAGGACAGACGGTTGTGGAGGGAGGGTGAGATCGGAGTGGTTGGCCCAAGGGAACAGTCCAATGTAGGTGGCGAGGAGAGGCCCCAGCCAAGATCTGAGGCAAAGCAGGGCCGGGGAGAAGTGGAACCCTTTCTCCTGGGATGGCACCCCAGGGGGCAGGGGTACAAGCCGGATCCGGGTTAGCGAGCAAGACAATCCCTCTTCAGGGATGCCAGGGGGTACGCGTCCTGGGTCCTGGGTCTCGGTATGGCCTAGGAGAGCTTGATGGTGGTGTTTGGGCCCAGATCCCTGGAGAGACAAGAAAAATCAGAGACTTTGTCCAGTGAGGACCTGCTCACCACCCTGCGAGCTGGATCTGGACATGGGAGGGATGGGGCCTTGGCAAGGTGTGGTTGACATGGGGACCAGGGACGGGCAGAGGGCAGGTGGAGCCTGGGGAGCCCAGGAAGGGACGGGGCCACCCACCCACCTCTCGTGGAACCACTCCTTGGGGTGGGAGAAGTCGGGGCTGGTGCCATTTCCATTGATGTCTTTTGGCCAGGCTTCGCTCAGGTACTTGGTGGTCTCGTGCGTGCTGTCCAGGGGGTCATGCTGTAGGCGGTCCTGGGGTCGCTGCTCCGCTGGCCCCCCAGGCTTGATTTCCCAGCCATCTGGGGGCTCCACGGGCAGCAGGGTGCTGCGGCCATCCTCCCAAGAGCCTGCCCCCTCATCGTAGAACAGAAGGCTGCGGGAGGGCACTGGAGAGAGAGCGCGGGGTTAGCCCCGGGGGCCAAGAGGCCCCCTGGCCACCCCAGTCACATTCATGGCATGGTTAGTTACAGACACGGGCTCTGGAATCTTAAAGGCCTGGACTTGAATTCCAGCTCCAACAATGCCAAGCTGTGCGACCTCAGACCTTTGTTTTAAACCCCTGAGCCTCAGTTTGTTCACCTGTAAAACAGGGATACTAGGACCAACTTCATATAGATGTGAGTTTTAAATGCGATCATATAAGGGAAGTGATTGAAACTGTGTTCAGTGGACACCCCGAGAAAGCAGCTCTTTCTAAGCAGAGGGTACCAGGCTGGGGGGGCATCTGAGAGCTGGGTTCGAATCCTACTTCCAACACTTATTAATTTCCATAAGATCTTGAATAAATCTCTTCCCCATTCTAGGCCCTAGAGTGCGCTTCAGGGAAGATAAGGGAAAGGAAACCCATCTGTTAGAGAATTCTGTGTGCCGGGCACTGCCAAGTCCTTTGGCCTATATCAAAATCGACATCTCTCAGAAACCCAGGAACCAGGTGTTTTAGCCCTGTGTCACAGAACAGGCAATCGAGGTTTTAGGTGATCAGGTACGCTGCTCCATGCTAGTCTGACCCACCACCACCTTTTTGGCTCTCAGGACCCTGACCTACATGAAAGGCACCCTCTGGAATGGTGCACGCCCCGCTCTGCGCGCCAGCCTGCTCCAGAGCGCCCCCTACCCCAGATGTCCAGACCTGCACCCCTGCATTCACTCACTCACATTCCTTCTCCGCCTCCTCTGACTCTGGTTTCCTTCATCAACACTGATACCCCCCCCCCCCCCCCCCCCTTCCAGTCCTTCCTCTGTTCTGGCTTCCTCTACCGCCAAATACACCAGGGCCCCTCTGGCCTTGGAAAAACAACATGTGGCTCGCAAGACCTATACCCCCTTAGTCACTGTCTTGCTCTCTTCTTCTCAGGTCCAGCCACAGCACATGTCCAGGGAGTGGTTCTCACTCCCCGCCTCCACTTCCTCTTCCCCCACCACTTCCCTGACCGGCCTCCATTTCCTCCCCTCAAGGCCACGCAGGCCTGCCTCATCCTCCCTGTTGTATCTCTCCTCCTGGAAACTCACTCTCCCCAGCTCCTAGCTCTCGGCTTGCCCATCTGGTTCCTCTTCCTCGTCCTGCCCTGCCCAATGACTTGCTCCTGGTAAGTGATGAAACACGGCTGGGAAGTCCCTCTGCAGGTCTTCCTGCAGTATCTTCTGCCTGGGGAAACCCATGCTCTCCTTGCTGCGCTCTAGACTAGCTCTCCCCTTGCCACCCATGCATTGTATCTGTTGAGAGCGTTCGTACACCACGTCATTTAATCTTCACATCGACCCTGCTCAGTAAGTGTGGAACGGTAACTCCCATTTCCAAGTGAAGGAACGAACGCCTGGAGAGCATAAGGCACAGGCCCAAGGTCACGCAGTGGCAGAGGCAGGTATGACGGACTCTGAGGCTCCATACTCTAAACCACTGTACCTCACAATCCCCCATGGGACGGTAGATACCTGAGCCCACACCACCACTGCCCCTCAGCTGCCCATGGTAGACATCACCAGTGGACCCTGGCACTCCTTCCTGTTGATCTGAGTGGTGCCTCAGAATCCTTCTTAACACAGAGCTTCAGGCAGCCACCATCTTCCTGGAAATGACCCTTGAGCTGAAACTCATTTGCTGTCCCAGTCGTGAAATACAGATGGTGCTTAGCAGAGGCCCCATAACCCACTGGCACATAATACATGGGGGCAAAGGTGGGGACATTTCTGTTATCCCCTACCAGGGGTGGGCAAACTCATTAGTCAACAGAGCCAAATATCAACAGTACAACGATTGAAATTTCTTTTGAGAGCCAAATGTTTTAAACTTAAACGATATAGGTAGGCACATTATTATTAACTTAATTAGGGTACTCCTAAGGCTTAGGAAGAGCCACACTCAAGGGGCCAAAGAGCCGCATGTGGCTCGCGAGCCGCAGTTTGCTGACCATGGCCCTATACTGACCCCCCAGCCACTTCTGGATAGGCTGGGAATCAGGGGGTCTGCATTGTAGCCCCAATTCCACAACTAACATCGAACAAATCATAACCCTTTTGAGCCCCCATTTCCCATCTGTAAAAAGAGAACGTAGAGTGAGATGATGCCAACCCAAAACTTGGCTCCTCCCTGTGCCTGGCTTCTGCCCAGAAGTTGGGGCTGGGGAAGGGCAGCCCGGCTCAGGGCACTCACTCTGACTGGCTGTGTAGACGCTGTCAGTGGCCATGGGGTCTTCCTTCACAGTCTGGGAGCTGGAGGAGAACTCGGGGAGGCAGGGCACGAGGGAGCCCAGCACCAGAACAAAGCACAAGGCTGCCACCTGGTAGTAGAGAGAGAGTAGTGGTCAGATCCAGGGCAGGGAGGGGCTGCAACCCCCTGCCCCAACACCAATGGCTGCAAAAGGCTCAGTATTTCTCTAAGAAAGCAGCTCCCAGAGCCAGCACCCCCACTAGACGTGGGGTGTCCCGCCCTCTCTGGAGAAGGTGGAGGAGGCTGCTCAGGCCATCTCAGCCCAGGCAGTGCTGGGAGAAAGAGGGAAGTGGCCCATGGGGTTACCACCTCCAGGGTGGAGGAATCAGTAAGGAAGAAGAGGGATCCGGGCTGGGACAAGGGAGGGGACACAGTATCACGGCAGCTTCGCAGCAGGAGGAGCTAGGAGTCACGAGGCGCACACCAACCCCTGCCCACACATGGCTCTGCCACCTGGCAGCCCGGATCCCAGAGGGGATGCCCTGGGCAGTGTCCAGGCGGACAGGTCCAGGAGAGGGTGGGAGAGGGACAAGCAGAGGCCTGAGCCACACCCGGGGCACTCTTGGGTTTTCAGAGATCTGCTCGGCCTTCTTGCCACCATTCATTCCAGAAAGAACCAAGTCCACAGGTCCGAGTGTCTCCCCCAGCCCTTCCCATTTGCCTTGCCACCCCGCAGCGGGGTTCACCGGAGTCCCTGCACAGTCACACTGTTAGGACTGGCCAGGGAAGGCCACGCTCTAGAACAGTGGTTCTCAACCTAGGGATCGCGACCCTTTTGACAGTCGAACGACCTTGCACAGGGGTTGCCTAAGACCATCCTGCATATCAGATATTTACATTATGATTCATAACAGTAGCAACATGACAGTTATGAAGTAGCAACGAAAATAATTTTATGGTTGGGTCACAGCCTGAGGAACTGTATTTAAAGGGCCAGAAGGTTGAGAACCACTGCTCTAGAAGGTTCGGGGAACTTGGTGAAAGAGGCCACTGGGCACTGGGATGGTGGACCTTGGCGATGTTGCCAATCCTTCCAAGGTCTGCCCACCCCCCTAGAAAGCCACCCGGGAAGACGCCCTCCGAAGGCCTGTAGGAGGGAGCAGACCTACCATGAGGCAGGTCCCAGTCTGGGTGGCTGCCATCTTGTACGGCCTGGAGATCTTGCTGGTGACCAGCGTCTGGAGCTTCTGCAGCTGCTGAAGCAGGGTCCTGAGGGGGACACAGCGGTCACAGAGGCCCTGGCCCAGCGGGCATCTCTGCCTCCTGCTCTCCAGCGCCCACCTGGGCTGGCTCCAGACCTGGCTCCCCCCCAGGGTGCCCACTTCAGTCAAGACAGAAGAGGTCGCCTCCCGCTTGCCCCTCTGCGGTGTTGCTCGGGAACCTGGGCCTGCCTCCTGGTGGGTAGCTGGGTCACCCTGGGAGAGCTCAGGGGGGCCCTGTGATGCTCATGGCCAAAGTGGGGGTTGGAGGAAGGCTGTCCCACCTGGGCCCTACGGCAGCTGCAGCACCCCACAACCCATGTCTGCCAGCTGTCTGGAACATAGTGAGTGTCCAGCAAATGGTAACTACCATTTTTAAAATTTTTATTGCTGTTTTTACATTGATCACGACACCTGTAACACGTGTATTTATGGATTTCCATGCCAGCCTCCTCAGTTAACTGTGGGCTCCCAGAGGGTAAGGACTGGGTCCCGCCGGGTCTGGAATCCTCTGGCTACACACAGCGGTGCTCAGCCCATGCTTGGTGAACAAACATTTAATCATCTCTTTCCTCCACCCAGCCTGGCAAAGGGGGTTGCAGTTCAAATAATGTACAGCAGGTGGCGAAATAACACCGAGGGCCTGGCCAGATTTGGGGCCAGAGGGGAATCTGGGCCAGAGGTGGAGTGAGGGGTGATGGCTCCCCGCTCCCCTTCCCTGAGGGAAGGCATTCTCCAGATCAGTCAGGGGAGTGGCCGGATCCTGCTGGGGAAGCTGGGAGGGCAGGAAGGAAAGAAGGGAAAAGCCTTCTGTTGAGCACCTGCTACATACCAGCTGCTGTTTTTATTTTATTATTTATTTATTTTTTAAAAATCTATTTTATTGACTTTTTATACAGAGAGGAAGGGAGAGGGAGAGAGAGTTAGAAACATGGATGAGAGAGAAACATCGATCAGCTGCCTCCTGCACGCCCCCCACTGGGGATGTGCCCAAAACCAAGGTACATGCCCTTGACCGGAATTGAACCTGGGACCCTTGAGTCCGCAGGCCGACACTCTATCCACTGAGCCAAATCGGACAGGGCTTTACTTTATTTTTAAGAGAAATATTTTTATTGCCCTAACCGGTTTGGCTCAGTGGATAGAGCGTCGGCCTGCAGACTGAAAGGTCCCAGGTTCGATTCCGGTCAAGGGCATGTGCCTTGGTTTTGGGCACATCCCCAATGGGAGGTGTGCAGGAGGCAGCTGATTGATGTTTCTAACTCTCTCTCCCTCTCCCTTCCTCTCTGTAAAAAAAATCAATAAAATATATTAAAAAAATATTTTTATTGATTTCAGAGAGGGAGGGAGAGAGATAGAAACATCAATGATCAGCTGCCTCCTGTGTGCTCCACACTGGGGATCCAGCCCTCAATCCTGTGCCCTGACCAGAAGTCAAACCGTGACCTTCTGGTTCATAGGTTGACGCTCAACCACTGAGCCACGCCAGCCAGGCTGTTGTCTATTTATTTTAATTAATCCCATCAAATAATCATTAAAGACCTACTGTGCACTCATGGCTGGGCACTATCAAGAATTCAGAACTGCCGAAACCGGTTTGGCTCAGTGGATAGAGCGTCGGCCTGTGGACTGAAGGGTCCCAGGTTCGATTCCGGTCAAGGGCATGTACCTGGGTTGCAGGCATATCCCCAGTGGGGGATGTGCAGGAGGCAGCTGATTGATGTTTCTCTCTCATCGATGTTTCTAACTCTCTATCTCTCTCCCTTCCTCTCTGTAAAAAATCAATAAAATATATATATAAAAAAAAGAATTCAGAATAATAACAATAAAGAAAGAAAAAAGAAAAACTAACATGAATTGAGCATCCTTAAATGCCAGGCACAGTGCTGGGCTCTTTAGTTGCACTATCTTATCGAATCATGACACACATCCTGTGAGATGGTGCTTCTGTCATCTCCATGTAGACAAAGAAGCTGGGCCCCGTCGCCAAAATGGCCGAGTGGAATACGAATCCAGAGCTGGGACTTGATGTAGCTCCTTCAGGCTATGCGTACCCTGGTGTTTCTTAAAGCTTCGTTGTGCGTGTGAGTCACCCAACGGGCTTGTGGAAATGCAGATTCTGATTCAGTGAATCTGGGAGAGTCCTGAGACTCTGCATTTCGTAGGAGCTCCCGGTGCTGCTGCTGCTGTTTCAGAAGCTCGCTCTGAGTGGCAAGCACCTACGCCCGTGGTTCCAACCCGAGGGCGCATCAAATTGCCTGCAGTGCTAACTAAAACATAGATTGCTGAGCCCCTCCCTGGAGTTCCTGCCTCAGTAGCCCTGGCGTGAGGCCTGAAAATAATAAGCATTTCTAACAGGTTCGCGGGGAGGCTGCTGGTGGTGGTCTGAGAAACCACGCTCTGAAAACCACTGCTCTGTACCATCTCCTTTAAAGCTTCTCATCAGTGTATCACGTGTGTAGAGCTATGTGTGGATGAAGAAGGATGGGAAGCTGGCGTCCTGGGCTGCAGGGTTCCTGTTTCTGGGGTTCATCCTGAACTCAGTTACCTCTCCTCTGCAGGGGGCAGGGGCAGTGCGGGATGTAGGTGGCAGCACCCACCTGTTGGCATTCTCCAGGGTCTCTACCTTCTTCCACAGTTCGTTGTTCTCTGATGTAAATGTCTCCACCCTGTGGGGCCAAGCAGGCACAGGCTCAGGGGCGGCCCGAGAGTTGCTGCTGCCCCCTCAGTCCTGCCCACCAGCATCTCAGCCCCTGTGCCTCCTGCCCCTGGAGCCCTGTGACCCAGGCCCCCCTCTCCACACAGGACCCTTACTTCTTTTCTAGACACTCCACGTACTCCTTCTTCTTACGGCGGCTCTCCTGGGCCGAGATCTAGGGGGGAAGCCCCCAAAAGAGGGGTTACCATGGCCATAAATCCACTTCCTGGGACCCCCAATTTCAGAGCTGGCATCACCAGGGGAGCAGAGACCCCCACCCACCAAGGAAGCACCAGGGCAGGGATCCAGCTCTTGCTTTACCTTGTTCTTGATTTTCCTCCGGACCCTCTTCAAGGCCTTCTCCTCGGCTTTGGTGAGGGGGAGTTTTGTGGGGATGGGGTAGCCCTCAGCAATCAGGGTGCGCTTCTCCTCCTCTGTCAGGAGCAGGGGCCCTGAAGTCCCCTGTAATTTCTGTGGGAAATAGGACATGATGGTTAGAACCAAATAGCCCTGGGTCCAAGTTCAAGCTCTGCTGTTTATTCTGTGTGTGACCTGGGCAAAGCACTCAACTCCCCGAGCCTCAGTTTCCTCATCTAAAAAGGGGTAGAGCCCAGCCGGCGTGGCTCAGTGGCTGAGTCGTTGACCTATGAACTTGGAGGTCGGGGTTTGATTCTCCGTCAGGGCACATGCCTGGCTTGTGGGCTCAATCCCCAATGTGGGGCCTGCAGGAGGCAGCTGATCAATGATTCTCTCTCATCATTGATGTTTCTTTCTCTCTCCCTCTCCCTGCCTCTCTTAAATAAATAAATAAATAAATATTTTTAAGAAATGGGGTAGAGCTGAATTAAATCCAATAATATGTATCAAATGCTTAGGATGGTGCTGGGAGCCCAGCATATTAGGCACTCAGTACATTGTTGGGGGGCTCCTTAGATCCCACCCTCAAATTCATAGACACAAAACCTACTTGTCCAGGGCCCCCTAAATGGCACCCCCTTCATATTCCTATAGTCTTGGCTTGGAAGGTTCCACACCCATCCCAGGGCTCAGGGTCCAGCTCCAGTTTCCTGGGTACTCTGGGCCTCCTGAGCACTGCTCCCCACACAGGGAGGTTAGGAACATCAGTTCTAATCCTGGCTCTGCACACTGTGGGTTCGGCAGGCCTCCCTGCCTATTTCCTATTCACCACGAGGCAGGGCTAAAAGATTCTCACTCCCATCTGCCAGGCAGGCACCTCACTGAATTCTGATGGGGACGGGATCAGGTTGGGGCTCCCCAAACCCTTCCCCACTGGAGGTGTGCCAGAGTGGATTTACCCAATTATTTGCCCCAGACCACTCCCGGCGGCTTACATGAGGGGCCGTGAGGAGGGGGGAGGTGGAGATGGCCGTGGAGGAGCGGGCCATGGGCCGGACAGGGCTGGAGGGGGGCAGAGAGTGGGGACTCTGGGAGCCGTCACTGTCACTTCCATGGCTGCTGGGGGGCGTCGGAGGCATCTGCACCAGGTCCTCTGGGGAGAGTGGGGGAAGCGGGTTAGCAGGGTTGCACTCCGCTCTGCTGGGACCTCAGAGTTCAGCAGAGCATGGGCCTCAGCCAGCCCTGATGCTGTGGTCAAGCGTGCTGGGGCCTGACCAGTTGCAGCATCCAAAGCCCCTTTGTGGTGTCAGAGAGATGGGAGCTGACATCCCAGGAGCTGATCCCTGGGCGCCACCTCATCTCTGCCACCAGGGGCCTGGCTCCTTTGAGCCTCATCCTTGGGGAGGCTGGATTCTTGGAGGCCCTCCCCCATCCCCAGCTTCAGGGTGTTTGAGCCTCTAGTTTGACAACTCCAGCAGGTGGCTGGAGTCTGCCCTTCCTCCCTCCCACCCCAAAGGTTTAGCTATAACTACCCCAGGGTTTCCATTTCTGACTTCAGGGTAACGAGGCAGCAGGCATTGGGCTTTCAGCCGACCAGCCAGGAGCACTGCTCTTCCCAGCTTCCCTCCACGCTGTCCCTCTGTGGCCACAGCACCAGGAAGGCTGACACTCTGCAGGTGGCCAGGAGGAAGCCTGGGCAGCACAGATGCCCAGATTTATGGAGAGTTGGATGGATGGATGGATGGACAGATAGACAGATGGGTAGATGAGTGAATGGCAATAAAATGAGCTGCAGTTAGTGAATGACAGGGGATTAGTGAAGGTGTGAGGATGCAGATAGCAGGGCTGACAGTCAGAGGCTGGGTAAGAAGGGGACTGGATGGGTGGGGGGTGGGCCAAGCATGGAGGAGAGGATATTATGGGGAAAGGGGGGTTGTTGAGGGAGGTGGGTGGCTGGACCAAGGTAGTAGGGATGCTGTCTGCCCAGGACTGGAGAGGAAGAGTCCGTCCCTGGACACACCTACCTGGTGTCACTTTGAGGAACTGGTTCACCTCCTGGGGCTCTGCTTTGATCATGGGTAGCTGAGTCATCTCTCCCGGGGCCTGAGGAAGAGACAGGTCCAGCTCCATCAGCTGCCCCTGCGGCTGTCCCCACCATGCCATCCACCCATCTCCCTCCCTGAGGCTGGTGGCCTGTCCTGCAGAACTGGGGAGGTGGCTGGGCTTAGAGTTCTGGGCACAGCCCAGAGGGCGTAGAGGCAAGTTCCTGTGCGTGGAGGAGCCACTCAGCCAAGTGGAGGGATAAGCATGAATTCATGGGTATTCAGGGTGTCCAGTGTGTAGGAATGTGTGTTGGGAAGGAGGGGTAGGAAATAAGACCAGAAGATCAGAGTGGGGTGGGGATGGGAGCAGAATCCAGACAAAAGAATTCGAAGCAGTGAGGAGCCCCTAACAGGTTTTAAGCAAGGGACTCACAGAATTCGATTTACACTTTATTTATTTATTTTAAAAAATATATTTTATTGATTTTTTACAGAGAGGAAGGGAGAGGGATAGAGAGTCAGAAACATCGATGAGAAAGATACATCGACCAGCTGCCTCCTGTACACCTCCTACTGGGGATGTGCCCACAACCAAGGTACATGCCCTTGACCGGAATCAAACCTGGGACCCTTCAGTCTGCAGGCCAATGCTCTATCCACTGAGCCAAACCGGTTAGGGCTCGATTTACACTTTAAACAAACATGCATTCCTATTTCTTTATATTCCAACTTGCTGTTCCAGATAGGATTTCAGGAACATGCGTGGCTTCCTACACATGGCTGTCAACACGCACGGGAGTGGTATTCTCTTTGAGGAAGGCGCTATGTTGGGTGCTGGACTTCAGGACCACCTTTTCCCTTGGTCTGCGGCCAGCAGAGAGAGGCCATGATATTGTGGGTGGGACACAGAATCCCAAGTTTAGGCAGATGAGTAAGAATCATAGAAGGTTCAAGTTTGGGGGAGGGGGCCTGGTAGGTTCCCTCGTGTCTCTATCCCAGCTCAGCCCTCAAGTAACAGATGAGGGGACTGCGATGCAGAAGGGTGAGGGCACTTCACCAACTTCTGGTTCTTTTGCCTCCGCTGGGGTGTTGTGACCTCACTGGAGTGAAGGTGTGGGCTTCAGGTCTGGCGTCTGAGGTGGGGGTGCAGCTCCTCTGTTTGTGACTGTGTGATTTGGGGAAAGTTGCTTAACCCCTTGAGCCTCAGTGTCCTTCTCTGAGGCACATGCCCCACCTCTGGCTGCTGCTGCAGTCCTGCCTTCCCTTCCTGCTTTGGCAAGGCCCAAGGTGTTGCGGAGCCAGTCTTGGATCTGATCACAAAAGATCCTCCACGCTTAGCTGGTGTGGCTCAGTGGTTGAACATGGACTCATGAACCAAGATGTCACAGGTATTCATGTTCAAGCCCCAGTAGGGGGCGTGCAGGAGGCAGCTGATCAATGTTCTCTCATTGATGTTTCTATCTCTCTATACCTCTTTCTCTAAAAAATCAATAAAAACATACATTAAAAAAAAAAAAAGATCCTCCAGTCCTAGCTGGTTTGGCTCAGTGGATAGAATGTTGGCCTGTGGACTGAGGGGTCCCAGGTTTGATTCCGGTCAAGGGCATTTGCCAGAGTTGTGGGCTCAATCCCCAGTAGAGGGCGTGCAGGAGGCAGCCAATCAATGATTCTCATCATGGATATTTCTATCTCTCTCTGTCCCTCTCCCTTCCTCTCTGAAATCAATAAAAATATATATTTAAGAAAAAAAGAAGATCCTCCACATCTGCAGCCAACCCTTGATCCTGGTGGACAGTGGAGGGTTTGGGAGGGGCTGACAGGTCTGCCTGTGGTCACATTCTGATCAGTTGAGCTGTGTGGCCAGCAGGGGGCAGGACGGGCCCGATCCAGACTAAGGATTTAAGACGACCCAGGGACAGAAGCTCCTAGAGTAGCGGTTCTCAACCTGTGAGTCGCGACCCCTTTGGGGGTCGAACGACCCTTTCACAGGGGTCGCCTAAGACCACTGGAAAACACATATATAATTACATATCGTTTTTGTGATTAATCACTATGCTTTAATTATGTTCAATTTGTAACAATGGAATTGGGGGTCACCACAACATGAGGAACTGTATTAAAGGGTTGCGGCATTAGGAAGGTGGAGAACCACTGTCCTAGAGGTACCCTGTAGCTAACACTCCTATTTTATAGAGAAGGGAGTGGCATGTGCCCAGAGCACAAGCGAGAGCCAAGTTGGACCCAGGCAGGGCCTCTCCCAGGGGCCTGGGCTCTGGGCCTCACATTCTCAGAAGGGTTTTCAGATATCATCTTGGACCTATAGCCAATGATGTTATATCTACATTCGTAGGGCGTGGGGGTAGTGTGAGAATGTGGGTTGAAGATATTAATCTCTTGAATGTAAACAACCGAAAGACAGTACAAGTTTTATATTTCCACGTTGGCCTTCCTTTTTTAAAATGCTGACGCCTTGAGAAAATTAAGTGGCCTGGCTGTCTCCATCTCTGGGACTCTGGACGTGGCTCAACGCCAGCCCTGCCTGCGTCCTGTGAGCCTTGCCCACACACGGTGAGGGCCCCAGCTCACAGTGAGGGCTCGATGGCCTGAGCGCGTTCTAGATGGTGAGTGGCGGCCCAAGAGGGAGGCGGAGGCCCGTCTGGGAGTTGCAGCCCTTGGTCCCGAGGGTCACGTTGCTCCCTGTTCATAGAACCCTGGGTGCACAGGGCTTTGGACACTTCTTCCCACACAGACCCCCCCACCCTTTTCCCCTCCCTCAGCCCTTACAAAACAGTCCCCAGGCTCACCTGGTGGGGGACAGGCAGCCTGGACAGAGGGCTGAGGCCCAGCAGCGGGGTGGTGGCCATGGCAGCAGCGGCAGCCATGGCTGAGGAGGCGGCCAGCGGGTCCACAGGCAGCTCCAGGCTCTGCTCCTGCTTCACCATCACGGAGCACAATTTGTGTCCCAGCACCCAGGCTCCATGTTCCACATCTGGGGAAAGGGGCAGGACCCAGGCTCAGGGGGCTCCCGGAGCACAGGGCTCGGCCCCCCTCCTATCCGCGGGGAGCCAGAAGACGTGGGGGCACCTTCTTCATTCAGCAGCTAATAGACTGGGCTTGGACAACAGGCCAGAACCCCTCCTGACTGGCTGTGTGACCTTAGGCAAGTTGTTTAACCTCTCTGAGCCTTAGTTTTCTCATCTATAAAAGTGTCTGTTAAGAAGTAAATAAATGTCCAATAAATGGTACTATTGTTCATATAATTATTGTTATTCGGTAAAGAGTTGCTGAGCACGGTGCTAGGTTCTGGGCATCTAGTGAAGGTCACAAGCAGTTGGAATGAAAAGGAAAGGAAATGGGGCCAGAGGGGCCGGCAGGGGCTGGGAGGCTGCACTCAGAGCTGTGACTTTGTCCTGAAGCAGTGGTTCTCAAGCTTGGCTGCACATTAGAATGACCTGGGAATCTTTTTAAAATCCTGATTTCTGGGCCTCACCCTCCGGAAATTCTGTTTCTTTGTTATGGGGTGGGGCCACAACATTAGTAATAAAGAAACAGAATTTCCGAAGGACGAGGCCCAGAAATCAGGATTTTAAAAAGATTCCCAGGTGATTCTAATGTGCAGCTAAGGTTGAGAATCACTGTCCTAAAGGCAATGAGGTGGCACTGAAGAGTTCTAAGTATGTTAGGATTTGTGATGTTAAAAAAGATCACTGCCTCTGTGTGAAGACTGGCCTGGGGCAGGCAAATTAGAGGCAGGGACACCGCGGGAGTCTGTTGGAATGGTCCAGCGAGAGAGGACAAGGCCTGAGCAGAGGCAGTGGCCGTGGGGATGGAGAGGACGGACGGAGCACACTGGAGACGTCTTTAGAAGGAAGCAGTCACCAGACCTGTGATTGGGGGCAGGTGGGGGGTGAGGGAATGATGCTCAGGTCTCCCGGGGAGCGTGAACCTCCTGCCTATCTAGGGGGCCTCCTGACCTCACCTGGGCCACAGGGATGGCAGGCATCACCCCTCTTCCTGCTGGGCGCCCACAGTCCTCCACCCCAGCTCAGGCTGGCCCCACCTGGAAGTCAGAGAAGCACTGGAGAGGCGGGGGTCTGGGCGGCCAGCTTGCAAAGGAAGGACTATAGGGGACTCTGGCCTTGGGACCCACTGTGGGTGGGGAGAGGGGTCAACGGCTGCCTGATCCCACCTCAGAGGCCGGGCCCCACCCTCTGGGAGCCGGAGAGCCCCAGCTCTGGGCCACAGGCTGCCCCTGGCTCCAGGAACACCCACAATCTTCCCAAATTACAGGGCCAGCCTAGCCCGCTGGCCTCCGGGAAACTGCCCCCTGCAAAGGGCCCACAAATAAATTACTCTAAAAATAGATTGGGGGTGTTCAAGGAGTTGCTGGGCTCGGCATGTGGGGGTGGAGGGAGAGCCCGCCATGGGAGGGTGCCCATCCCACACCCTGCCCCTCCCCAGGCTGTGCCCAAGGCCTCCTTGAGTGACCTCGGAGTTCTTCCCTGTGGCCAGGGCACAGAGGGAAGCTGGGACCTCAGCAACCACAGCCCTGGAGCCACTTAAAACCTCAAGAGATGTCCCTGCCCTCAGGGCTAGGGTGGGGGGGAGGCGGGTGGTACACAGGTCTGTCTCTGCCCCTGGGGAACCTCTAAGACCCTAAGAAGCACCTCACACTTTCTGCACTCAGCACAGCTCTAAGCCCTTGACACATATGAGCTCATTTATTCCTCCCCCAAATTCTACGGGACAGACACCACTATTTTCCCCACTTAATAGATGAGAATATTAAGAAAACCATTCAAGACCATTGTCCTCTGAGGGGAAAGCAATAAGAACCACGACAGTATCAAGAGGACTTTCAGAGGCACAGTGAAAATAGCCAGTGATTATCTTATATAATAAAAGGCCAGCGACCATAACGGGGTAACGACCAGAACGACTGATCGACCAGTCGCTATGAGGTGCATTGACCACCTCTCGGTCCTTCCTCTCCAACCTACAGGCTCTGATCGCTGGACGGCCAATGGGGAACCACGGGGAACTGGGGTGGGTGGCAGTGGGGCAGGACTGGGAACTGGCAAGTGGGTGGAAGGCAGACCTCTTGGTCCCTCCCCCGGCCTGCAGGCTCTGATAGATCGCCAGAGGGCAAATGGGGAACCGGGGTGGGTGTTGGTGGCAGGGTGGGACTGGGGACTGGCAAATGGGTGGAAGGTGTCCCTGATCACAGCCTAGGGGTAGGGACCCTACCTGCACACAATTTCGTGCACTGGGCCTCTAGTCTATAATAATAAAAGTAATATGCTAATTAGACCAGATGACCTTCCGGACGACCTTCCAGACAATCTTCGAGACGACCTTCCAGACTAAGCCGCGGTGCTGTGGAGGCTGAGGCAGAGGCATGGGGGCCAAGCCCCTTGCATGAATTTCATGCATTGGGCCTCTAGTTGATATATATTATGTGCTGGGATTTTTAATCTTGTCCAGAATTCTATGTCAAGCCACAGAGTATCTTCATTTTATAATTGAGGAAACAGAAGACCAGAGAGGTTAAGAAACTTGCCTAAGACCACACAGCAGCCGGTGGAAGCATCAGGATGTTTGGTTCCAAACCCAGTACTCCTTGCAGCCCCCTTGAGGCTGGCAAATGTGGTGGTGGCGAGGGTGTGAAGTTTAGAATCGGTGGGCTTGCTTGCTTCCAAGTCCCTAACCTGCATTTTACTGTTTGTGACTTAAACAACTCAGCTTTCCTAAAGGCTCATTGTCCTTACCAGTCAAATAGGATTATGATAAAAGTGATTCCTTCCTCACCTCTGAGCCGTGAGAAATAAATGAGAACATGAACATGAGAGCACTTGGTAAACTGGAGAGGACTGTAGAAATGTTTACTGCTGTTCCCATTGGTAGATGAAGACCCTGAGGCTCATAGAAGCCAGGAGATGTGTCCATGATCACCCAGCCAGATACCATGGGGCCAGATGGGTTGAGGAAATGCCCAAAGCCATTTCTAGGTGGGCAACAGTCTGGAATTCTCGAATGTTGAACCTGAGAGAAAAGACTCAAAGGGCCCTTTGCTACAAAGCAAGGCAGAGGGAGAGGGGCGCTTTAGAGAACCCTCCCTTCAGTAATAAAAGTGGGCAGCCTCCCTGAGGGGTATTTGTGGGTGCCTCCTCCCAGAGCCTCTGGGAGCCTCAGCCTCCAGTGCCCCTTGTGGCCCTGCAAAAGCTTCCTTCCCTCCTGGGCCTGATGTGCATGTGCTGTCCTGGGCCCTCCCGCCCTTCTTACCTTGGGTGGTGTCCTCCATCTTGATGGGTACCAGGGGGCTCTGGGGTGCAGAGTCACCGCTCAGGGAGTAGCTGTGCTCGGCCTGGATGCCTGGCGTGGGGGAGTCCAGTTCCATGTCCAGTAGAGGGCTCTTCTCATCCAGCACCGGGTCATCAAAGAAGCTGCTGAACAGGTCGTTGGAGAAGTCCTCCATGTTCTCCGCAAAGTGGTCCAGGTGCTCAGGGAAGTGCTAGGGAAGGAGGAGGTGGCAGCTTAGCTTGGGAGAAGGGTACAGACACTGCTGTGGTGGTGCCTTCAGACCTGACATCACCAGCACTGTCCCTGCAATGTCCCCATTACCCTTCCTGCCATCATTAATGCCGCCACCACCAGCACCAGCACCTCCCACCACCCACATCACCTGTGCCAACCATGATCATGTCTATGATCACCAGCACCAGTCATCACATGACCTCCAGCCCCACCTCTGCTGCCATGGCCAGCTTCAATGTCATTATCCTCAAATGTAAGCTGGAGATGGCGTGAAAGGATTCCTGGACCAGGCAACAGGACACAGGGCTCTAGTTTTGGCTCAGTGACCTTGGTCACATCACTTAGATGGCCTGAGTCTGTCTCTAGGTCCACTCTACTTCCTTCAGGGGGGGACTAATTAAAGAGTAACTATGTCTTAGTGACAGCATGGATGGAACTAGGAGGGGTGGGCAAACTTTTTGACTCGAGGGCCACAATGGGTTCTTAAACTGGACCGGAGGGCCGGAATAAAAGCATGGATGGAGTGTTTGTGTGAACTGATATAAATTCAAAGTAAACATCATTACATAAAAGGGTACGGTCTTTTTTTTTTTTAGTTTTATTCATTTCAAATGGGCCAGATCCGGCCCGCGGGCCATAGTTTGCCCACGGCTGAACCAGAGGGTATAGCGCAGTGATGGCGAACCCATGACACGCATGTCAGAGGTGACACGTGAACTTATTTTTTTTGGTTGATTTTTCTTTGTTAAATGGCATTTAAATATATAAAATAAATATCAAAAATATAAGTCTTTGTTTTACTACGGTTGCAAATATCAAAAAATTTCTATCTGTGACACAGCACCAGAGTTAAGTTAGGGTTTTTCAAAATGCTGACACGCCGAGCTCAAAAGGTTCGCCATCACTGGTCTAGAGGATATCATGCTAAGTGACATTAAGCCAGCCAGAGAAAGACAGATACCACATGATTTCACTTATATGTGGAATCTAATGAACACAATAAACAAGCAAACAAAGTAGAAACAGACTCATAGACACAGAGAACAAACTGACAGACGTCAGAGGGGAGGACTGTTGGGGGGGTGGGGGGGGCTGGGTGAAAAAGTTGAAGGAATTAAATGGTATAAATTGGCAGTTGCAGAATAGCCACAAAGATGTAGACTACAGCACAGGGACTATAGTCAACAATACAGAATAACGCTGAATGTAAACTGTCATTGAAAAATAAATTAAAAAAGAAAAGAAACAGAATAACTATGTCTAGGCAGCAAGTTTGCATCCCAGTGGCAGTATTAGCGACGTTTGCGTTACCTTCTGCTGGGGTGCAAGGCCTTCACTTCCCTCATTAGTACAGTCCCCACCTGCCCACACGCCTCCAGAGTCCCCCTTTTCTGAGCCACTCTTTATCCCAAGAGAATAGGCTCTGGAGCCATGTTACTTGGGTTCGAATCCCGGCCTCGGCCTTGGGACTTCTAGCCAGACTCAGTGCCATTCAAACTGCCGGAGTTGACTCGTTAACGGGGTGTGGAATCAATGTGGTAGGTCACGACCAGGATGTAAGGAGAAATAAAACAGAACAAAATAGAGTACAGCATATCAGCGTGCACAGCACCCAGAAAAGTTAAATACGCAGTGTCAGTTTTTACCTCAGTTACGTGTGTGTGTATGCTTGTGGTGATGATGTAAAATACATTTCTTATAAACAAAAAAGCCTGAAAATATTGGTCTCTGTGATCCTGGGGAAGTGCATTCTCCCCTCTCTCTTTAATTTCTTCCTTGGCATAGGGACCTTTGCATGGTTCCTCCCCACCAGGATTAGTGTGAGGATTAAGCAAGTTAATACAGTTGACCCTTGAACAACATGGGTTCCAACTGCACAGGTCCACGATATGTGGACTTTTTTCATCTTGTAATCAGAGGACGTGGCCTTATGATATTGATAAGTACAGTGCTGTCAGTGTATTTTCTCTTCCTTATGCTTTTCTTAAAACATTTTTGTTTCTCTAGCTTACTTTATTGTAAGAATACAGTGTACAATACATATAAAACTATGTGTTAATTGACTGTTTATATTGCTGGTAAAGCTTCTGGTCAGCAGTAGGCTATTAGTCGTTAAGTTTTTGGGGAGTCAAAAGTTATACGTTTTCTGCTGCACAGGGTGGTGCCTCTAACTCCTGTGTTGTTCAAGGGTCATTTATACTTGTAAAGAAACTTAGAACAGTTCCTAGCACATAGTAATTACTCAACAAATGTTACCTCTTATTAATAAAGCACCCAGCAGCTGGTAGATAGTAGGCTTATTTTTCTCTCTCTAAAGGATTGTAAGGCCCTAGCTGGTTTGGCTCAGTGGATAGAGCATTGGCCTGCAACTGAAGGGTCCCTGGTTTGATTCCGGTCAAGAGCACATGCCCAGGTTGTGGGCTCGCTCCCAAGCAGGGGGTGTGCAGGAGGCAGCCGATCAATGATTCTCTCTTATCATTGATGTTTCTATCTCTCCCTCTCCTTTCCTCTCTGAAATCAATAAAAATATATATTTAAAAAAGAATTATAAGTATGTAAGGGGATGTTATTGTTGTTTATTCATTATTTACTGACTGACTTTGCTGGTGGGCTGGTAGAGATGATGGGGGCTTTGCTTCCTGTCCTGGGGCCCCATCTGGTAAAGGGTCAAGGACTGGCTTCTGGGGGGCTGGTTTGCGGTCTGGAGCTGTCTGCTTTTTTCTGGCGTGGACCCCTCGGAGCCCATTCCAATGCAGAGGGATGAGCAGAAAAGCCCCATCTGAGCATAAGGGTCAGGGCCACCAGCATCAGCCTTCAGGGAGCAGGGGATGAACACAAGCTCTGCAGTTGGGTAGACTTCCTTTTGATCCCTCATTCCACTACTTGCTAAGTTACTTTGCTGCTCTGTGCCTCAGTTTCCTCATCTGTTAGGGTCAATAATAATTCCTATCTCATAGTGTTGTTGCTGTCCTGAGAGTCAAATATTTTTAGGTGCTTACTACTCACCTCGAAAGATTATGAGGGCAAAAGGAGTAAATACATATAACACATGTATACATATAACACACATATACACATATGCAGTAAATACATGTAACACTTAGAACAGTGCCTAGTATGTAATTGTTAGCCATTATTATAATGAAAAGCCTGACTCTGGGCCTGAAGGGAGCTGAGCTTGAAGCCCATGGAGGAAGGTGGTTTGGTCTTTCCCCCCAAACAAATTGTGATCAGAGAGCCCAGGGCAAAAGGAGTCCAGAAACCCTACTGACTGAGGAATTCTCTCCTTTCCCAGTTTGCCAGAGCTTATCATTACCATCCAACATTTTGTTGTGCTTCCACATGGGTTATTTTATTCAATCCTCACAATTGCCCAATGGATAGGAAGTTGCATATCTGCATTTGACAGACAGGGAAACTGAGGCCCAGGGAGCCAAGGAGAACTGGGAATCATGCACAGCTCCTCGTTACCCAGTCCTTCCCCAGTTCAGGAACTGCCTGTCTGCCAGACTGTAAACTCCCTGAGGCAGGGTCTATATCTTGTACCCCAGAGGGCAGTGCCAGCAGGTCAGAGGCCTCAGCTGAACAAGTCTCTAAGAATAACTGTGATCCCAGATGAAGACCATTTACAGGGTACAACCTCCCCCAACCACCCATCCAGAACTGTGCTAGCCACACCCTCTGTAGAGTCTGGGCCAGACCAGCTGGGGTCGCTTTGTCCCTTCTCTCTCTCTCTTTTCTCCCCCCTCCCTTCCTCCTCCCCTCCCTCTCTCTCTCCCTCCCTCTCAGGCCTGGTGTGGGGCCCAATGGGAGGGGGTTGTAAAGAGAGGACAGGGCAGTGAGTCAGCTGCTAAGGTATTTCTCCAGCAGCTGCTTCTCAGGCGATAAGGGTTTGCCAAGCTGTCCCTGGGGCCTGGGAGAAGAAAGATGCTCTCTCCAGTCTGGGCTGGGGTCTCGGAAGGCCTGGGCTCCAGGCAGATGAGCCGGGTCCTTCTTGGAGACCCCTTTTGGGGTGCCCATTGGACCCTGCTGAGGGAGCTCAATTGGCCCCCTTTTGTGAGCAGCCCCCACCCCACCTGCTGGAAACAGCAGCCAAGACTCAGCAGGATGGAGCTTCCAGAGAGCGGGAGCCAAGGAGAAGGGGAGGGCGGCCAAGGGGCAGGGTGGGGGTGGAGGACACAGAAAATCCAGCCTTGGCTCAGGGCTTTCTTGTGTGCTGGGCCCACCTCTGGTGGCAACAATGGGCACGTCCCCTCATCCCCAGGCCCACTCTCAGCTCCTGGAAGCGTGCCAGAGGGACTCACTTGAGAGAACTTTGTAGCCACGCTTGTGTCTGGTGCCTGGAGCTCAGTTATGGTTGGTTTATATCGTCAGGTCGGAGGCAGAAAGGGACCCGAGAAAGCTCAAGGTCCACGCCCTCCTCCCCTAACTGCCAATGAAGAAACCGAGATCCAGAGAGGGAGGGCCACCTACCCAGGGCCACACAATGAACTGGTAATGTTGGTGGGTGGGGGGAAGGGAGGGGTTCTTCATAGCTCTGGGCAGACAGGATGTGGGGCGCCTCTCCTTGTTTCCTCTCACTTCTTCTTCGTCTCCTCCCCCTCCCCTTCCCCCTGGGAAGCCCACTCTGGAGATCTCCCCAGCTCCAGCAGCGCCTCTTGTCCCCCGGGGTCACCCAGCTCTCCCTCCGGTTTACACACAGAAAATTCAGGTTTCAGATTATCCGGCGGAATAGATTGGGGGTGGAGGGCAGGAATCTATAAATGGCAGGGGGTCGTGGGTCATAGTTGGGGGGGGTCGGATTCTAACCGGGGTGAGCGTTCTATGGAGGTGCCTTTCCAGGCAACTGGGGTGGGGAGATGGTGGTGGTGGGGGGTGAGAAGCAAGAGAAGGAAATACTGTATTATGATTTGTTTCCCTCCTCGTTCAAGACTTTTTCCTACAGTCGTGCCAATACAAGCTCCTTCTCGGCTGCCA